TAGACCCCACCCAGCCTAAAGGCCCTCAAGGACTGCCAGACACAGGCCACACACATCAGGGCAGAGCTGCGCTGAAGGCAGGCACAGGCTCACAAATGCCAAGCAAGAAGCAAACCAAATTCTCACTTTTCTTGTGAAAACCTTAAAAACCTAAAATTTAATGAAAAAAAAACTTTATATTCAAAAGGTTGGTTTTGTTGTTTAGTAACAAGGGGTTGGCCAAACAGATGTCATTTTTGTTTCAAGAAATATATCCACACAGGGCACTCACTGGCTTGGAGTCTGGAGACACTAACAAGGGCCTTGTCTGCTCCCATCCTGCCAAGGCTTAAGGCACAGAATTAAAAGTTTGAGTTCAAGAGGGTTGTTTAATCCAACTTCTGAGTCAGGTGATGCTCCTTGTCACTATAAATAAAGCTGATGACTTCCGGAACCATCTCAGTGGACCCTCTCACTGACCAACCAGGAAATAACAAGTTGCCCATCACTGGAAGTTTCTTTTAAACTTGGGCTTTCTGTCAATCTACCAAACACTGACATGAGTACAACCAAGAATGCAAAGTCTTCCCAAGTCCCAAAGAGCTTGTAAAGTCATACAGGGTGTAATAGGCCCCGCAAGCAGTCTCTGTAGTGCTCAGGAAATAACTTCTACAGCCAGAGAGAACTCCAGCATGCCGGAATGCAAGAGTGCTGGGGACCAGACTAAACAACCAGAAAACACATCATTTATATAGCACCCTTTATAAAGCTGCTGTTCATTTCGAAAAGTTGAGAGATATGTATTACTAAAATTTAAAAGAAAAGCAGAAGGTGAGTCTGGTTTTAAACTTGGGTGTGTGCCTGCCTGTTTCAGGAGACTCATTCAGAATTCGCCAGCATAAGAAAACAATCTCCTAGGAAGTCCCCGAGTTAATATTCTATAATGCTAAGCAGACTCCATCGCCCAGGCTTTCTCACTTAGAATTAAATATTTACTTTCCTTACAAGCTGCATACTTTCCATCTAATGCCTACTTATTTTTTCTACATTTGGTACATTTGGCCATCTTCATGCTGTTAGTTTTAGGTAAAAGTGCCTGTCCCCTTGCCCTATCCACCCCCTTCCCTCAAATGCACATAGAATTGAGAATGGACTTTTTGCTTTAAGATTTATTTTTATTTTATATATGATTGCCTGCATGTATGTATATGCATCATGTACATGTCTGGTGTCTATAGAGACTAGAAGTAGATGTCAGATCCCCTGGAGCTGGAGAAACGAGCAGTTATGATCCACAATGTTGGTGCTGTTAGTAACATCAAAAGCTCTCAACCACTGAGCCAACTCTCCAGCCCCCAAGACTAATGTTTCCCAAAGGTGACAATTTACTGAGCTGAGTGTACAAACTGCTATCAGTCATCTGTTTTGACAGACAAAATAGACAAAACGAACACTTCACCTGGTTCAACATTATTATGTTTTCATGTGGTCAGGAAGAACAGGGACTTGAACCTTTAAAGAATAGCTACCTTGGCCTGGTGCTGTCTGGTCAAACTTGCCAAGACGATGGGAATGATGTAACTCTATAAGCAACTACTCAGCATTTGCAAATTGACTAAGAAATGGAATGTTAAAATGTTATTGCCCCTTAACTTACATCCTTTAAACTTACACAGCTGCAAGTGGTACGGACAATGCTGTTGTGGACAACAGCTTCTTCACACAAATTCATGTGTCATGCATTTGTATGTACAGAGTTTGAAAGCCCAGAGCAAAGACTCTTCATAAAGGAATGAAATGCCAAGTGCCTTCCTGGACTGCCAAATTTTCACTGACTCTACACCTTGCCACTGAAACTCATTTTAATCTCCTAGTTCTGTGTCCTCTCTTGGGTAATTACTGTCCCAGCAGGATAGAATTATGTGGTCCTGCAGCCTATTCAAAAAGCAGAAATGATGTCACTCAGCAGCTGGCAACAGGAACAGGTCCCAAAGCCTTCTTATCCTCTGGGCTTCCAGGTTCTCATCTACCGAATGGGTGACAACCACACCTACCCTAAACATGGGTCTATTATGATGCCTACAACCACAGCAATGTGGTGTCTGATTCTGAATTGCAAGTCTTTTAAAGTTGGATTCAGATACTTTATACAATGAGATGGCAGTCTCATCAGTATGAACTACGGACACCCTGGGCTTCAAAATTCTAAGAGCCCCAATCTTGGCCTCTTCCAGGAGCCAGACAGCCCATGTTTATAATACTCACTGGAAAGGGGCTTACAAGGCCTTCACCACTGCAGACGTGGGATATATAAAGGAACAACCTGGGAAGTATAAATGTCCCACAAAGGACATTTCCCCTTCTGGAAAAAAGATTTGGGCAAGCACTGTTGGCTCGATCTGTTTGTCATGTGTCTATTAGTTAAAGGCACAAGCAAGGATCTGGGCTCCTGTGCTTTTAAAAGGTATCCCTGCTACACAATAATCCAATATTCCAATTAAATCATTTGCATGCAACCATTTAAACCGAGTTTGGTGCTATATAATTATTGTAGCATGTAGAGTTAAGGCTCATTTCAGCAAAGAGCTTAATTGCTCAAATGTGACTTGATTCAGGATTTATTTAAAACTCTCCCATCAAGCCGGGTGTTGGGGTGCACACCTGTAATCTCTGCACTTAAGAGGTAGAGGCAGTCAAGGTCAGTCTAAGCTGACATGGCAATTGGGACTAAGACTCTGTTCTGAAAACTATAAAAAAGGAAGGAAGGAGAAGAGGGAGGGGGATGAGAGGAAGAGGAGGAAAGAAAAGAAAAGGAGAGGGTAGGCAAGGGGAAGAAAGAAAAATGTTTTCCATCAACAACGACAAAAAAATCCATATATTATAATATCACTCTAACTCCTTAGACAAGGTAGAGGGTCAGAGTTCAAGTCCTATACATGAAATCCAAGAGTTCTAACATGCCACGACTTCACACAAACTTTTAGTTTGTGATTCCAAACCTCAAGCTCCCTTCTTGCCTTCATCCTCCAATTGGGGCCTTCTCCAGGACTCAACGAGTCCAGCAGCCCAGCAATCCAAGCTTGCCCTGGCCTCTAAATGGAAAACTGACTGAGAGGTCTGTCCTGACCTCTCCTGCACTCAAACAGAAGGGAAGTGGCATCTAAGGCCCTCAGAACAGGAAGCTGCTTCTCAAGAGAAACAGTCTGGCAGACCATAGTGGGCTGACCTTGCAAAGTTCACTCACACATTAAGACTGCTCTCAAGCAGGCAGCATGGATCACAGAAATTTCTCCGGGTGCAGGAAGTTAAGACAAGCAAGTTGGGGAAAGGTAAGACGTGGTGTGACTCGAGTATGGTGGCATACTCAATTGTAAAGGGCCATGTCCAGTGTATGGACTTCGGCCTACAAAGTGAGACTGTACGCAAGATTCCACTCAGGACCCCCACCAGAAGACTATCTTAGCAAATAGAAATGTGGGAGGCTCCAGGATCCTCCAAAGTTTCATTTCCTTGGTGTTTCCCAGTCCTGACCTCTGACCTCAGGAGTTATTGCCAAACCGCTCTCCGTTTAGCACAAGGTCCCACACTTCCTGCCCAGTTCCCCAACCCCAGGGATGAGTGGGTGGTACTATCTTCAGGCTAGAGATAAGGAAACCCAGGTTCAGAGGTTAGGAGACGTGAGCTTCAGGTGGTCAAGCGGGTGGAATCCAGGTGTGTGACTTCTGCAGCCCTGCGTGGTCCACAGAGTGAGCCAGGCGCCACCTTGTTCCCTTGTCTCCCACGTCCCTAAACACACATCCCACAAGAACAGTCAATACCAGCTGGCTACTCCCTACGTGTGCTAGGTCTCAGTTTGAGGGACAAGCAGGAACCTTGTTTATTCAGATGGGGAAATGGGAAACGTTCGAGCGAAAACACTTGGTTAACTACCATCCACGAAGAGTGACACCAACAGAACTCCAGCTGGTGGCTTACAGTACGGGCAAGGAGACCCTAAAGCATCCCGTACCGCTGGAAGCGCGGGCCGGCTGGCCTCTCTGCCCCGGGCACAGCCGGGAAGCCTGGCGGGCTGGGACAGACGGCGGGCCCAGTGCCAGCGCGCTTGGCCGGCCTGGCCGGAGGTGTCTGCTTCCGCTCGGGCCTGGCACCACGGGTCCATTCATCGTGGCCGCGGGAGGGAGAGGCCAGGCAGGACCCC